TAAAAAAAAAAAAAAAAAAAAAAAAAAAAAAACAAACCCGTACGGGACTCGCCGATTCCGTACAGTGAAATCGACGAGTCACTGTGCAGAATCGTCCGGTTCTCTCTAGAACCGGACGATTCCCGTTTTTTTCGCCGATTCGAACTGTCCATGGCGATTCCCGAGTCGAACCTTTGACTCGACGTTTTTTTAAACATGCCTATAGCAATACAAAAGTCAACTTTTCTCAAAATTTTTATCTACAAATAAACACTGCCTATAGCAATACAAAAGTCAATTTTTCTCAAAATTTTTATCTACAAATAAACACTGCCTATAGCAATACAAAAGTCAACTTTTCTCAAAATTTTTTTCTCTTGTAGATATTTTGATAAATTTTTATATTTTTAATAAAATATTTTTAATCAATTATTATAATTTTCAATTATTGATTTTTTTTTTGTTCTTTGATCATTATACGCTTCCCAATAGCTAACTTCTTTTATCAAATTTCTCTCTTTAACTTTTATCAATCAAAATGGACGGTCAATCTCACTCCTTCACACGAGCCAGGATCCCTCCATATCGTAGCCGTTTATTCCTTTCCCGGTAATATATATATCATTCGTGGCATGGCGGATAGGATTTCCACGTGTACATTCGTGATGCTTTACCTGGATAGCTCGTTCAAATATCAACCGTTCGATTCATAACATACGTTTCAGCGATCCCGCACGTGCCAAAGTTCGGTTACCTATAAATAGTCTTCGACGCTTCTGTTTCCCCACTTTTTATTTTTTAATCGTATTTTATTTTTTACATATTTGTCCTGAAAAATACCAGAAATTCTCTGCAACATCTTGTCTGTCACCCTTTTCCATCATTAAATTGTAATTTTTAGAATAAGAATAAAAATTCACCGAGCAAAAAAGAAAAGTTAGGATTAGGGTTTTTTTTTTGTGATTTGATCAAAGGAATGCTCTGATAATCGATGGATTCCTTCGCTTCAAATGACAATGTTCAATCTATTTCCATTAATGCCGGTGAAGACGTATGGAGCTCCGCCGCTTCTTCTGCTCCAGATCACCTCGTAATCATGGTTAATGGCATATTAGGCAGGTGATTACGATTCTGTCGCTTCTCTGCTTAACTACATTTTACAGTTTTTTTTTTTTTTAATGTTTTTTTTATTATGTTTTATTCGGTTTTAGGATCGACGTTTTGATTTTTTATTATTGTGGCAGTGTAATTGTTGATTTTGTGGTTTTCTTTTGTTTATTTTTTGGCTTTAATTTTAATTTTTTACTGAATATTGCTTAATTTTGGAATTAGGATGCACGTTGTGGAATGATACGGAGGTTTTTATGAAAAGGAAAATGATTGTGAGAAAATTGGTGTCTATTGGTTATTAATTTATTATTCATGGACGAATCAGGCTTTGGTTCAAAGTCATGCTGATCCTGTGATGGAAACCTGATCATAACTTGGGGAAAAAAAAAATCCATCTTTCTAATTCATCTTCTTTATTTGTCTCCTTTCTGAGAGCTTCTTATTGATCTCACCAGGAATTCTTGAAATATGGTACGCTATGTCATTTCAAGGTTTTTTGCTGATAAATTAATGGAACTTTTAAATGGGGTTCTATTTATCTTGTTCCAGCAACAGATTTTTCAATTTCTATATGTTTTCATATTCTTGATTACCTTATGATGTTATCTCATTCTGAGTTTCCTTCTGTTTCTTTGCAGTGAAGCTGACTGGAAATTTGCTGCTGAGCAATTTGTGAGGACTCTTCCTGATAAAGTGTTTGTTCATTGTAAGTCTTATTTCTTCAATTATTTCGTTTGGTTCGCATTCTTATATTTTCTTTGATCATTATAGTGGTCACATTTTTTTTCTTTTGAAAGTTTACTGTTTTCCATTAATTTTCAAAATGAATGTACAAGTATGTTCCGTGTCTGAAAATGAGCGGTTGTTATAGTGTCTTTATAGCGGTCATATTTTTTGGATTGAATTTCATTTAATTGGTTAATTGTTCTTTCTAATCATTACTTAGTGGCAACTTCCTTTATTTTGTAAATTATGCAAAAAAATCCCATTACAGTTTGTCTTGATAGAAGAGAAAATGATGCTTATGGAAACAAAATATAGAATTAAAAGTGGTTGATGGTACTTCTTATATGTCTTTGCTAACCGTGTTGTGTGAGTCGCATATAGGCTATCAAACACTTCGAATTTACTCATTAAAATAAAAGGGTGATATCTTTCCCTTGATATTATTTTGAAGCTCTCTTATTGAGGAGATTATTTTTTGCAGTAAGTTGGGCTTTAATGTCTACCAGATAATCTTTCTATGTAATTCGTGCTCCCCATGGGGAAATTCCATGATGCATTGCTCAGAAAATTTGGTGTTTGGTAGTGACGAATTGGGGTAGTTAGATTTTCTGCCATCTTGAGAGTGATTGGGGTCAATATCTGATCACCTCTCTTTCTCATGAAACGGAACTCTATACTTTCGAAGCATGCTGCATGTATTAACTTTTCTGTAGAAGATATTTTTCGCTATGTAAGCGTTGGTTGACAAATGTGATTTGTGCAGGTAGTGAGCGAAATGTGTATAAGCTTACATTAGATGGAGTTGATGTAATGGGAGAACGGTTAGCAGAGGAGGTAAGCTTTACCCTTTCAACACGTAACCACAACACATTAGAGTTGAACAGTACATATACATTTCTTTTCATGTTATGCTAAAATTTCATATATGGTTTGTGAAACTTTAACCTTTAAAGAATAATGTGATGTGAATGTTACCAAAATGACAATTTGAATGCCATTTTACAGACCTAAACTTGGTTTATATTTGAAAATTTGACAAAATTGGACCACTAATGAACTCTAGGTTGAAGAAGTTATACGACGAAAGAGTGATGTCCGGAAGATTTCTTTCATTGCCCATTCGGTGGGAGGATTGGTTGCAAGATATGCTATTGGGAAACTGTACAGGCTTCCTCAGAAAAGGGAAACCAAAGATGATTCGATCAATGGTTCAGGTGATGATGTTTCAAGGGGTACAATATGTGGCCTGGAGGCTATGAACTTTATAACTGTTGCAACTCCTCATCTTGGTTCAAGGGGAAATAAGCAGGTATGTGTTGTATATTAATTTCAGACTAAACATGATTTTAATTTGCCCTGCAGTCTATTTTTAGATATGAATAAGAAGGTGAACTTTGTGATGACTAACCATAAGCCTAACATTTTCGCAATTGCTGCTAATTTCAACGTTTAGTGAATATCTGATAAATCTTAAAGAGGATTCTGAAAGAAGTACCTAATAGTTCTATAGGTAAGATTCTCCTTGTCTAGTCAGGAGAAAAAAGAGAGTAAAGGAAATGGATCGATCATCTCAAGCAGAAACTGTAAACGTTGTTTCCTGATTAGTATTTTGGTCTAAACGAGAATGTGAAAAGCAACTATTACTCTTCCCTCTATCCATTGCTTTTGTTTATGTATCAACATAAAATATACCTGAGCGGGATCTGTTTTGATAGATTTCAGTCACATATTCAAGCATTCTTCTTCTTCTTTCTCTCTCTGCAATGGTTTTCTATTTATGGTGGATTATTGGATATAAATAAATGCTTCATCATGGCCCTTGACTTGAACACAATACTGCTAGATCTTCATCCATTTGCTTGTACGATCCATATATCATATGTGAGATATGAATGTCATTTTTTTGTTAGTGTTTTGAGGACTATACCATAAAATTGCAGGCTTTTGTCCTCATTTTTGGTCCTGTCATTATTGTTTCAGGTTCCATTTCTTTTAGGTTTGCCTTTCATGGAGAAAACAGCTTGTTATGTGATTCACTGGATATTTGGGAGAACTGGTCGGCATCTGTTTCTCACTGATAATGATGATGGGAAACCTCCACTGCTAAAGCGCATGATGTTTGACTGTGGTGATTTGCGTTTTATGTATGCTTGAATGCAATCCCTTTGTATCAAGTGCCTTTGTGCTGTACATTGTGTGTGACTATTTTGACTTTCCCCTTACTCTGAAACATGAACTCTTGATACTTTTTTTTTATAATGTAGTTCTGCATTGCGAGCATTCAGACGGCGAGTGGCATATGCGAATGTTGCCTATGATCGTATCCTTTTTTCATGTTCTTGTTTTATCCTTTTTTCATGTTCTTGTTTTTAGTTTCATTATGCGAAAGATATGCCTACATTGTTGCTGTATTCTCAAACCATTTATTTGTATAAATATTACAGATATCATAGATGCACCACGGTTTTCTTCTTATGCTTTTATTTGCCAAACAAATGAGATGCATGCATGAATGAATTATATATTTTAGGAAAATTATCAGAGACATTTCTTTTGTTTTTTGGATATTGCCAAAATACCTAAATCTCCATTTATTTATGCTCATACCCATTTCTACCTTTTTTTTGTTAATGATGTATTTGCCCTCATTAAGGATCTATCACATTCGTAGTGTTACAAAGCACCACGAAATCTAACATATCCTTAACACCAAAAAGACCAAGGATGTATTAGTGCCACATACCTATCCGTGGTGCTTTGTCACGCTCTTTAAAACCCACATGCACTCTTTCACTCTATTGGTTCTTTCGTCTTTGGGCCATGCTTCTTAAAAGGGCATTACAATTTCAAAACCACACGAGCGCCCGGGTGGGTTTAAAAGACTTGATAAAGTACGACGGATCTATTAGATCCATGGTGCTTTGTGGCGCCGCATATGTAATGGGTCCGTGGTGCTAAAAAGCACCACAGATCTAATACATCCATGGGGCTTTTGGCATTGTGGATATGTTGTATCCATGCCACTTTGCAACACTATGGATGTAATTGATCCGTAATAAGTGCAAATACGCCATTAACAAAGAAAAACTAAAAAGGCAAAAATGGGTATGAGTGTAGATAAATGGAGATTTGGGTATTTTGGTAATATCCAAAAATTAAAGGAATATTTATGATAGTTTCCCTATATTTTAATTATATAAGTACAGTGCATTATGTTTCCATGTTAGTGGAATCTTCATCTCTTTTTGTTGTTATTTGGTAACATCGGCCATTATCTTAACCTAATGATAGACTAGGATTCACAGAAATTTCCTCAACTGTAGTTAAGATATAGTAGGCTGGAGAACATCATCAATCAGACGGAACTATGAATTGCCAAAGGTACTGGTTTAGCTTTTTAAATTCTTTTCTCTTCTAGTTTTTCTAGTTTAATTTGAATTCAGTGTTGCACACCTGATGGGTCATTTTTGTTTGAAAGTTTAGTGGGAGAATTCTTTAAGCGAGAGATATCCACATATTGTACATGAAGAGAAGCCAACAGATGCAGATCCTCAACCTAGACCTATTATGAAGAAAGATGATGGCTCCAACACTCTAGAAGGTCGGTCTGTTTCTCTCATTTTGTTTTTGAATTCATCAAGCTATTCATTCATATAAATTTTGTCTTCACTATTTAACTTTGTTTTAATTGTTTGAACTAGTTGGTGCTTACTGAAGGTTCATAAGTGCTTACTGAAGGTTCAACTTGTATGATTGTGTGCTTTCTATATTTATATGGTTGGGTGTAGTTTTCTTTTTATCTTGTTACCTATGTTACCCATCATTTTTGCTGAAGTGTCACGCGCATGTGTGGCCACTTTAAGATATGGGCATATCAATAAACAAGAGTTTTAACCCGAGGCATCCTGCACTAACTTCATGTGGTCTACTACTGCATTACTTGCATCTACATATAAAAATTATTTTATATACACATTAGAAGTGTCTCAAACCGGTCTAGGTGACTTAGCTTGTTAGGCATGCACTGCAAATCATTCATATTGGAAGAATAATTAGAAGTTTAAGTTTGTCGTGTTCAAAGAGTGTTGTGTAGTGTTAGTTGAGCTCCTTGCAGAGCAATACTATATGGTATTACAATACTATGCTTCCATTCAAATTTGATGAACCAAACCACTGCATCTTCAGATTTTACAAGCTGTCTTACCCGCTTTTGATAATTGTTACTGTAACAAGCTTTCAATTCACTTATTTCACAATCCAGAAATTTATAGTTTGACCTCAGGGTAGATAATTTGATTAACCATGGTAGGAACAGTTGTATATTATTGACCCAAGAAGAAAAACGTGCATTAACTTGAGGATGTAGACTGAATTGTATGCTCTCTCTCTCTCTCTCTCTCCAATGCAGACCAATACATGTAGCTCATTTTGGAAAGCAACTATTGTCTCACTCTTTCTAATTGGACTGAATTGAATGTGCTCTCTCTCTCTTCTCTCTCTCTCTCTCTCTCTCTCTCTCTCTTTCTCTCCCTTCAAATGCAGACCAACAGATGTAGCTCATTTTGGAAGCAACTACTGTCTCTCACTCTTGCTAATTTTCCATTTTCCAGAAGAGCTGGTGACAGGGCTGAATAGTGTAAGCTGGGAGAGAATTGATGTTAGTTTCCATCAAAGCAAGCAAAGATATGCAGCACACAGTGTTATTCAGGTCTCTCTCTCTCTACTTTTCTTTTCACTTTTCAGGAAAGTTACAATAAGACCATTCACCTATGGATAAGGTCACCAATGTGAAATTGAATAATTTTAAGTGTGCATTCAAAATTCAAATAAAATTTTTTCAAACTCTGCAACACATCATTAACTACGTGATTTCACATCTGAAGGCTAGGAGTTGTGACCTTATACCAAACATCAACAGTGTTATAGTGACATTCCCTTTCTCCTATTTTAACATTTATATTGCAAAACCCTATTAAAAAAACATTTATATTGTGGAAAATTTGGTTTGCGATTGATATGGTGGTCGAAATTTACAGGTCAAAAATCACTTTTCACACTTCGAGGGTGCCGATGTCATTCTTCATATGATCGACAATTTCATTACATAGTAAGGAGAAAATCTGATTATATTGAAAATGGTGTTTTTTCAAGGAGAAATTATTTACAATCTCCACCGCAAATGGAGCTGCTTATTTCAGCTCAGATAAGTTTGTTGAATGACCGGGAGGGGAGCATATCTGATGATTCTACAGGGTACTCATCATATTTTTATTTTAAGAAATTTTCATTTCTTAATTTTTTTATTGTTCATAATGAAGGTGAAGGTCTCCCATAGCCCTTCTTAAGAAGAGCTGGTGAGTGGGGTTGTTTTTAATTAAAAATGAGAATGTGTAATATGTTACTTGAAGCTTAGAGGATAGTATTCTTTAATCACTAAGTTTAATAGAAATTGCTCCCTCTCCCCCCGCCCTCCCCCCCCCCTCCCCACCCCACCCCACCCCACCCCACCCCACCCCACCCCACCCCATCCCATTTGTCTTTCTTGTTCTCGCTACTTATTCTTTAAGGTCCGTTTGGGTACCCAGATTAGACTATCTGGGGATAGGCTTATATTGGAATTGGCTTCTCCTGGAATCGGTCTCTCCTTGAGATAAGACTGTTTGTTGTTTGGATAACACCTGATAAGAAACATAGATATGCCTGTCTATTGTTTGGATTGCCTGGAATAAGTGAATCTATAAAAATTCAATTGCAGTTTTTATATTATTACTGTACAATTAATTTTATAATAATTATTTCCACACATTCATTTCAAACTTGAAATTATTATTTTTGAACTATGGTGAAATCCTTATTTTTTTTATTGTTCCTTCCATTGTATCATATATATATATATATATATATATATTCCATTGAAAATATTTTTTTATTGTTCCTTCCAATGCCTATAGGTGAAATAAACAGTGATTTCGCCTATGCTCATCACTGTCTAAAGTTCATCTCACGGTCACGATTGTTAGGTAGTGTTTCAATTTTCATTTTTTTTCTATAAATTTTAATGATTTGAAATTTGGAACATGTGTACATCTCAGTGAGGTACACTTAATAAAAATATGAAACAAATATTTTACAAAATATAAATTGACCCCAATACCCTTGTAAAATTTCAGGGGTATTTTGATCCATTTATATTTTTCAAATTATTTTTTTATATTTTAATTAGATCATTCTATTTTTTATGAACATGCGCTTTAAATTTTAGATCATTCCGATTTGTAGAAAAAAAATGAAAAATGAAATACTACCGTACAGTTATGATCATGCGATGAACTTTGGACGGTAATGAGCATAGGATAAATCACTGTTCATTTTTGCCTATCGACGTTGCGTAGTGTTTTAAGTGTATTTGTTAGTTCTAGGGTTTGCAATTGTCCGGGATTGGGGCAAGGCAGCCTTAGCTCGATCCCGTCTAGGTTATCGGGCTGAAGTGACCTTGGGCTTGTTTAGGCGGAGCCTAATTTTTTTAAAAAAAGAGTAAACAAAAGAAATGAAGATATAGGATTGGGCCGGGCCAACCCTCTACCTATGGTGGCCCAGCCCTTAGGCTACATTTTGTGGGACATACCCTATTTTTTGGGGTCAGACATACCCTATTTTTTGGGGTCAAGCTGGATGTGCTTTGCAACCAGCTTATTGGGAAAAGTTTATATAAGGTTGCAACCTTAAAATGTAGACTTATAGATGCACCTAAAAAATCCATTGAAAAAAATTGTTTAAATGTTGAAAAAACCTCTAATTTATCATCTTGACATCAAGATGTATGAATATTAAAGAAAAAAAAAAGATTTTGAGTCCCAAAAATAGTGCATCTTACGATATATTATCTATTTATTTTCAAGATTTTCATATATTTATAGATTTGCTTGATTTGAACTATTTTTGGAGTTTAGAATTTTATAATTAAATATAAAAATAGATTTTGAGATAATCTTAAGAATTTTTTGGAGTTTATAATTTTTTGGCAATGGTCTGAATCTCTTCGACAAGGAAATGGAGTAATTATCACAGCAAGGAAGGGATTCTTAGCTGTGTGAGGAAGAGAGAGCGACAGTGTTTGGGCTTCTTCATCTCAAGGTCTATAGTTGCGATGTATTTCATGGTGGGTGGACGTGAAAATAGCTCAACAAATTGAAGTGAACGTATAATTTCGGGTGGGACAGTGTAATCCAAAAAAGTTTGGATTAACTTATTCCACCTCTTTGGGTGGAATAAGGTTATCCCGTTGTGTTACCCAAACAAAGGATAAGGATCCAATACCTGGATAACCTTATCCAGGTACCCAAACGGATTCAATATCCATGGTTAATAGAAATTATTCACTCTCTCTCCCCCATTTGTCTTTGTTGTTATGGATACTTATTCTTTCATATCTATGTTCAATAGAAATTGTTCTCTCTCTGTCTTTATTGTTCTGGATACTTATAATATTACTTAGAAGTTCGCAAATCAGCTTCCTATCTCTTAAAATATGTGTGGATGTCGTGGGGTGGATTGTTCATCCACGTATCTGTATTGGATTATTGGATCCGTGATTCAAATCGATTATGAATCAGTCCGAATCCATGAACTAGAATGATATTGAAAAATTAAAATTAAAATTGGGTTTATGAGGTGGGGATTTAGAATGGGGCATAAAGAAAATTAGATAAGTTTAAAATTAAGAAGAAAGAAAATACATAAAACGGGGTATTAAAGGGAATCGGGCCGGGATCCATACTATCTTGGTAACTGTTCGGTCCCAACCAATTCTCAAATCACAAATCCAAAATAGAAATCACTGGACCAATTCACAAATCACAAATCCAGAATAGAAATCACTGGACCAATTCTCAAATCACAAATCCAGAATAGAAATCACTGGGCCAATTCTCAAATCACAAATCCACAATAGAAATCACTGGACCAATTCTCAAATCACAAATCCACAATAGAAATCACTGGACCAATTCTCAAATCACAAATCCACAATAGAAATCACTGGGTTTGGGTTTTAAAATATTGATCCTAATAATGAAACCATGCATGTATCATGAGATGAGTATAATGGGGTGATTATAATATGATCCATATGGTGAGGCTATCACCGCCCACCAATGAGCGCATATGACATGCTCATGCGGTAGCACAATATACATCTACTCCCTCGGTCAGAAGGTCGATTTTTTTCGAACTTAAATGTTGAGACAACCTGACTAACTCTAGATGATTATTCTAAAATAAAAAATAAAAAAAATGAGTTTTTTAGTATTTAGAACTATCTTTATTTAATACTGAGATTATTTTTTTCAGGAAATTTTTTTTATTGAGGTTCTCATATGGATTGAAGAGATTACATTCCCAAATTTTGGGCCCAAGGGAGTAAATAGGCAATGTACTCTCATGAAAACAGATATCCTTTCCCTTTTAAGAACCATGAACATAATTTATTAAGAAGGGACATTATCATAAATATATTTTAATTTAAGTTTAATTGGAAAAAAATCTCAAACTTTTGTTTATCTCTTCTGCACCTTTTTTTTTTCTTTTTTTTTTTCATTTTTGGTTTTTTTTTTTTTACTAAAATAACATTCACGGTAGTCGTATTACCGTAATAGTTAGTGCATGTTATATGCTACTTTGAGTACCGTAATATTTAGAGAATTTTATATAGTACTTTTAGTACCGTAATACTGAGGGCATTTTATACGGTACTTTAAGTATCGTAAACTTACACTACCCTTATATGGTATTTTAAATACCGTAAACACTAACCCATGTTATACGGCATTTAAAATGCCGTAAATGTTTTTTATCTCTAATTATTTTTATGTTTCTCTATTCTTTCTCTCTCTAATTTTTTTAATATTTACCTTTTTTTTCTCTCTCTACAATCTCATCATCATTTCCTTAGAGAGAGTAATCAAACATTGAGTTCGGCTATGTAAAACAGATGATATGATCTATCTAAGAAAACAATGATGAGGTTGTAGAGAGAGAAAGAAGAGATAAAAAAGAATTAGAGAGAGAAAGAAGAGATAAAAAAGAATTAGAGAGAGAAAGAAGAGATAAAAAGGAATTAGAGAGAGAAAGAAGAGATAAATATTAAAAAGAATTAAAGATAAAGAAGATATAAACATAAAAAGAATTAAAGATGAAAGAGATAAATATAAAAAAATGATAAAAGGATTTACGGCATTTTAAGTGCCGTATAAGTTTTTACGGTACTTAAAATGCCGTATATTAGTTTTTACGGTACTTAAAGTATCGTAATTGGCTTCACGGTCATGACCAAAATTTTAGGGTACTTTACCGGAGTTTTACGATACTTAAAATACTATAATATTACTTGAAGTTACTACGGTATTTATAAAATGATATGTATTATGATAGTAAGACTACTGTGAAGGTCATTTTAGTCCAAAAAAAGCTAAAAATGAAAAAAAAGGGTATAGACGAGATAAACGAAAGTTTGAGGTTTTTTTTTCCAATTAGGGTATATATGCAATAATTACCTCAAAAATAAAAAAGAAATTTTAAGAAGCATTTCATTTTATTATCGGAATTTAGAATTAGTATCCCATTCTTTTATATTTGGGTGTGGTTTCTATAAAGTTACAACCTTAAACAATCTAATTAAGGCACACTTCCAAATTTTACCATGGAAAAAGTTTATATAAGGATGCTATCTTATAATGTAGAACTACGAATGCCCCTAAAAAATCCATCGAAAAAGGTAGTTTTAATGTTGAAAACCCTATGACTGATCATCTCGACATCGAGATGTATGACAATGAAAAACATAAAGATTTTAAGTCTCAGTGGGGAATACATGCCCCTACCCGTTTATACTTTTTTTTTTTTAGTAGATCAGTGGGGAATACATGCCCTTATTCGTTTTTAGAATTAGAAATAATTAACGGTTTTTCGACTGTCTCACGGAATGGAAACCTAAACCAAGGCTCAAGTCTTCCACCACGACCTCAACTCGATTCGCACTTTTTCTATACATCGGATTAATATTTATCTTTCTCGTCATCACTTGCTTGCCTTAAGTACAAAAATAATTTGAAATAAATAAAGATATTGAAATAAATAAAAAAACTGAAATACCCCTAAATATTGCAAGTGGTCAAATTTATTTATTTATTAAAAATAAAATAAGACCTCTTTTTATAAATTCTTTAATATACACTCTAAATGTGTCTCAAGAGCATTGTGTACTAAGACTCGGGAGATTATCCATCTAATTTTTGGACGGTCAAGATCCAATCACATATTTTTTATTGATTATTTTTCCATGGGAATCAAACTTGAGACGCAGCAGCGCTAAAAGTGAAGTGCTAAGCACTCAAGCCCAAGAGGGATTCACTCCTCCATCACCGTTCAACGTATTGATCGAACCACCACTCAAGCCCAAGCACCTGACTTTGGTGGAATTCACACTCATATCACCGTCCAACTTACTGGTCCAACGTTGGAAACGTCAATGTCCTGACTTACTCTCTTCTCGTGGTTCTTAGCATCAAATCTTTGTCCTGAGGCCGGCTTCTCTGCTCGTATCAACCCTAAATTCTAATCCTCCATGAACCCTAAAATTTGAAAACCTTAGACCAAAAACCCTAAACCTAGTTTTCTTCAGGTTCTGTTATTCCTTGGTTTTGCTATTGTTGGGATTGGAAATGGCGGTCGCTGCTTCAACTTCATCTCTCTTAAAAATCAGCAGCCCTAATGGCCTCTGTTTTGATGGAAACAGTGAGAGGAGAATCAAACCTTGTTCTTTCTCATGGTCTTCCTCGTTTCCATTACACAATCTCTCTCTAGGAAATTCACAGGCCGAGCCCCTTTCCCCGAGGGTAAATACTCTTACTTTTAGGCATTTCTAATGCTTCATTGAACAAATTTTTCTTTTGATCTCATTCGAGAACTTGCATTTCCCTTTTGATTGCTTCTTCTTGGGGTTTGATTGCTTGAGTGAGAGAGGGAGTAACACTCAACTGGACTGTGAATTTGTATCTCTCTCTTTGATGTTTTTGAGAAGAGAGAGAATGGATAACACTCAACTGGACTGTGGATTTGTATCTCTCTCTCTCTCTCTTCGGTGTTTTTGAAATACACAATGTCCTTCGTTGGCCAATCAAATGAGTAGAAAACCCAGAAAGAATTCTCTTTTCTCTCTCGAATTCTCTATCTCCTCAGTCTCTTAGAACTGTTCTCTATCTTCCTCTCTCTCTCTCTCTACGTAAGGTTCTCTCTATACTAAAGGACTTAAAGGTTTATCGTATTCTCTCTCTTCTTTCACT